GTGAGTAGAGAACAGGCAAATGGTGAGTGAGGGGCAGGTAGTGAGTACAGAACAGGCAAATGGTGGGTGATCGAGGGGGTGGGTGAAAGAGCTGAGCCAGTTAGCTGATGCCTGAATGTGGGGGGAGGGGCTATCATGGAGAGTAGGCTCTGAAAGGAGTTCCCAGAATTCAGTCCACAGAGCAATCTGGAGGTCAGTGCTTTCAACCCCACTGAGCATGTGCTTGAAGAGGTTATTCACAATGTCATGTTGTGGAGTAGGAGCTGCAGGGTGACAGCTTATTTTGAAACACCCAACTCCTCCCCATCTAACCCCGCTTCCCCCCAACCAATGAACTTTTAGCACACACACTGCTCGTAGTTCTGAAAATGGTGCTGTGACACTGAAAAGGACCCCCCTTTTACTCCTACGCAGCCATCTTCCCTACTCCCCGCTGCTGCCGTTTTCCTGGGGGCCTTCCTCAAGCTGGCCTGTGCTCTGCCTGCCTCCAGTGAGATCTATTTACAGAATGCAAACTGCAGTCTTATGCTAGGAGGCCGACGCAGTTTTGAGGTGTTGGTGGACGAAATGTACCAACAACAATCCTTTTTATTTATATAGTTTCATTTACAGAACGGTTAGGCAGCTAGAAAGCTCCTCACATGAACAATTCAGGCCTATTTTGACCAAGGATAGAACAGCCAAAGTAGCAGCTCTTAAAGAATCTTACAGGCATGCTGTTTTCATTGGTCAGAGCATTGAGTAGAGGAGTTGGGATGTCTTGTTGCAGCTGTACAAGATGTTGCTGAGGCCACATTTGGAGTAATGCATGCAGTTCTGGTCACCCTACTATAGAAAGGATATTATTAAACCAGAAAGAGTGCAGAAAAAATTTTCTAGGATGCTACCTGGACTGGAAGGTTTGAGTTACAAGAAGGGGTTGGATAGGCTGGGATTTATTTCCCTGGAGAACTGAGGGGTGATCTTACAGAGGTCTATGAAATCATGAGAGGCACAGATAAGATAGATAGCCAACAACGTTTCCCCATGGTAGGGGAGTCTAAAACTAGACAGCATAGGTTTAAGGGAAGAGGGGAGAGATACAAAAGGGTCCAGGGGAGTAATTTTTTCACACAGAGGGTGGTGAGTGTCTGGAATGAGCTGCCAGAGGTAGTGGTGGTGGCGAGTACAATTTCGTCATTTAAGAAACATTTGGACAGGTACTTGGATGGGACAGGGCCTGTTTCCATGCTGTAGACCTCTATGACTCTAAGTGACAAAGTAGCATTGTTTCTTTACATTTCTGCAGAGTCAAGGGGAAAGCAGTGTTATCCAGATAGCCACAACCCTCAGCTCTCTCCCCAGTGCCCAAAATTCTCCTTCCACCAAACAGTGAGCTGTCTGAAGCAGGAAGGCTGCAGAAGGACTTGGACATGCTAGGAGAGTGGGCAAAGAAGTGGCAGATAGAACGCAATGTGGGAAAGTGTGAGGTTCTGTACTTTGGTAGGAAGAATAGAGACATAGACCATTTCCTAAATGGGGAAAGTCTTCAGAAATCTGAACGACAGATGGACTTGGGAGTCCTAGTTCAGGATTCTATTGTGATTAACATATAGGTTCAGTTGGCAGTTAGGAAGACAAATGCAACGTTAGCGTTCATTTGAAGAGGACTAGAATACAGCAGCAAAGGTGAACTGCTGAGGCTGTGTAAGGTTCTACTCAGACCCATGCATTTGGAATATTGTGAGCAGTTTTCAGCCCCATTTCTAAGGAAGGATGCACTGGCCTTTGACAGGGTCCACAGGAGGTTTTCAAGAATGATCCCGAGGTTGGAGGGTTTGTCATATGAACAGTGGAGTTTTGAAGGATATGGGGAGATATCGTTGAAATGTACAGAACACTGAAAGGCCTGAATAGAATGGATATGGAGAAGATATTTCCACTAGTAGGAGAGACTAAGACCCGAGGACATGGCCTCTGAGTGAAGGGACGACCCTTTGGAACTGAGATGATGAATTTCCTCAATTAGGGCGTGATGAATCTGTGGAACTCATTGCACAGAGAGCTGTGTAGCCCAAGTCATTGAGTGTATCTGAGACAGAGATAGGTGTTTGCATGTACAAGCGCATGTGCCTGTGTTTACGCCTGTTTGTGTACATGTGTATGTGTCTGTCTGTGACTCTGTGTGTGTACGTGTGTGTGTTTATGTGTGCCTGTGTGTATGCATGGGCCTGTGTGTGTGTGTATGTGTGCATGAGCTCGTGTGTGTGAGAGCATGTGTGTGTGTGTGTGTCTGTTCGTGACTCTGAGTGTGCCCATGTGTATGTGTGCATAAGCCTCTGTGTGTGTGTGTGTGTGTGTGTGTGTGTGTGTGTGTATGTGTGCGCCCGCACGCGCATGTGTGTGCATGACTGCATGTGTGCCTGTCATGTGCTATATAAATTTAGTTGTATATGGTCTCTGTTTTGCTCTGCGTGGTCCCTTTAAGGTTACCAATGCAGATGCATGTCCTGTAGCAAGTGGTACACATGTGCAGCTTGTTTATTGCACTGTCTGGAACATTCCGGATGCTTGCATAGCTGAGAGGTAATGCTGGTCACGTCTATATTTTATCTGGTGTTACGTGGGGCGGCTGGCATGAAAGGGCTGTGGGGGGGTGGTCCTTTATACATTGGCTGACTGGCCTTTCCCTCCCATGCGAGGGGACCAGAGCATTTCGGGCAGGTGGGGATGGGGTTAGACCAAGTGAACAGGCTCTTGCCCTCAGGTATACTGCCAAGGCGAATAGGGGGGCCTTACCTGATGTGGGTGTGAGTGGCGCAGCTGCCAGTCCGTTCAGGTTGATCGCAGCCATGTGGTGCATCTGTGCAGTGGGGAAGGCAGCGGTGGGGTTCAGGTATCCAGTGTGTGTGGTGGCTGCCATGATAGCTGCTTGTTGCTGCATCAGCTGCAGAGAGAAAAGAAAAAAATAATCAACTTCAGCCCAAGCTTGGTTTCTCCAGGAACGATCCCACTATCCACACAACCACACAGCCGTGAAGGATGCCATTTCACCCGTCGTCTTTGTGCTAGCTCTTTGCAAAGGAGCGAACAAGTTAAGCTGCACCCCTGCTGTGATCCCAAGCCCCGCGATCGCTTCCCTTCTCCATTTTTAAATCACATCTGTTTTTGTATTTCTGATTGAGGCAGTGAACGACTTTGCTAACAAGCTGAGGAAGGATAAGTGCTGGAAAATTGGCTGATTTGTGCACTCAGGTATCCAGGAGACTATCTAGACAAAGACGAATATTTCTGTGACTCGGCTTGAAATAGGGTATTGACATTTACCTCAAAATACCTCAATCGCACCTCCTCGAGATCCATCTTCTGTTACTTCAAATTTTCCATCACCACTGCCTTTTGTCTTCCAACACTATCCTTTTCAATCTCCCCTCTCTTCCACCCTGTCAGAGATCTACCCTCTCCTTTCCCCTTCATCAAAAAATGACCTCTGTTGCTCTCTCCACGGACGCTCCCTGACCTGCAGACTGTTTCCAGTATTCTTTGTTGGTAGTGCTTCTGAACAAGACTGCAAAACAGGCAGGCTCGTGCTATTGAGACATTGAGACTGATGCATTGAGCAGAAGTTAATACACCAGTCAAGCTCCCACAATACCATGCCATCGGTTAATGCTCAGGGTGGGAACTCAGTATGCACAGAAAGGTTGCCAAGACTGATCGCTGCTGTTCAAACTAACTTACTCTATACGGGGTCGCCAAGCTTGCAAGATTGTCCTGGTGAGCCTGTGAGTTGAAAATTAACCTCCCAGGACAAAATTGCAAGCGAACTTCAGGAAAGTACTCTGCAGCAGAAACAAACAACCCTTAGAATGACAGGATCGTAGAATTGTTACAATTGAAAGGAAGGCCATTTTTCCATCGTGCCCATTCTGGCCCTCCGAAGGAGCCATTCATGGAATGCTATTCACCCACCCTCTCCCCACTCCCTTGCACATTCGATGGATGAACTAACTCCTGTTAACTTAATGTAAGCATTATCACATCAGGTAAAATATGCTGCTGGAGTCAAAGTCACAGTGTCATGGGGAGATGGTGGTGCAGTGCTAAGGTCACTGACCAGTGAAACTAAAGCCCAGAATGTTGCTTGTGAACATGGGTTCAAATCCCAGCACAACAGCTGGTGGAATTTAAATTCAATTAATAACATCTGGAATTGAAAGCTAATCTCAGTTGGAGCAGCTATGAAGCACTTATTGTCATAAAAACCCATCTGTCTCAATAATATTCTTCAGAGAAGCAAATCTGCTGTCCTTACCTGGTCTGGCCTTACACATGACTCCAGACCCACTGCAATATGGGTGACTCTTAGCTGCCCTCTGAAATGGCTGAGTAAGCCACTCTGTTTGAGTGGCAATGAGGGATGAGCAACATGCCCACATGAAAAAATAAAGAGGGAAAAACAAACACCTATTAATAAAACCGAAGAGAGAGTCCTCTTAAGTGGCACAAAAGTGAAAACTACAAAAATGTCAAGTGTTCTTGTGCAAATGAAACATTCTGCTTACTTTTTATTTTCACTTTGCTTTCTTGGTGACAAAGATATTGGAGAAGGATGATGGAAAAAAAGTGCTGTTTAACCCGCATGACTGGTTAAAATGCAGGATATCAACTGATAAAATGTCCAATCCTAATTCTATATGAAGTGCATTGAAATATTTGTTGGAGCAGTAAACACAAGCCATCCTTTTGTCCTGCAGTTGGTGTTTTTAGGGGCTATTGCTGGAGATCCTGTTTGGTCTATTATAGTCTTTGTCAGGGGTTTGTGTCACATTCTCATTAACTTTTAGCTTTTTTTATGTCCAACATGATAAGCTGACTTTCATCCTCATATGGATATACACTTGGGGGTGTCACCACTCAGCGGGGGCCCACTGACGTCATTCACAAAACTATTAGCCAGTGATGTAAGTGATGTGCATTAAAGAGATTTACTCTTGTTTGTGGCAACTCTTTAGGACAAAGCAGCCCGCTTGATTGGCACTACACCCACAGGCTTCCAATCCCTCCACCACTGACGCACAGTAGCAGCAGTGTGTACCATCTACAAGATGCACTGCAGAAATTCACCAAAGATCTTCAGACAGCATCTTCCAAACCTACGACCACTTCCATCTAGAAGGACAAGGGCAGCAGATATATGGGAACACCATCACTTGCAAGTTCCCTCCAAGCCACTCACCAACGTGACTTGGAAATACATTGCCATTCCTTTGCTGTCTCTGGGTTAAAATCCCGGAATTTCCTCCCCAAGGGCATTGTGGGTCAATCTACAGCACATGGACTGCATTGGTTCAAGAAGGCAGCTCACCACCACCTTCTCAAGGGCAACTAGGGACAGGCAATAAATGTTGGCTCAGCCAGTGATGCTCATGCGTCACAAGTGTTGCTGTACATGTTCATTACATCCTGCCCCACCTCTATTCCTTCTCTTCTGAAGCTGCAGGATAAGATCCTGCAGCTCTCTGTTATCTCCCTGGACAGCAAGTCATATCCACTGGCAGCTGTCAAAAAATCTGCCAAAATGTGTTGACAAGGTGATCAGAGAATATGAAGGAAGCCTGGAGAGAGAGAAAAAAAGATACACAGCAGTTGAGGATAAGCATTGGCTGGATGAGTGCAGCTCCAACTACATTCAAGAAGCCCAACATCATCCAGGACAAAGTAGACCATCCACCATTTCAAACATTCACTCCTCCATCACTGGTAACCATGATGCCATCTGTGACAAAGCAGCCCAGTTGATTGGCACCACATCCACTAGCGTCCACTCCCTCCACCACTGACTCTCAGTAACACCAAGGCTCCTTAGGCAGTACCTTCCAAACCTGAGACCTCTAACACCTAGAAGGACATAGGCAGCAAATACATAGGAACTTAAAAGGACAGCAGGTAACCCTGCAGATTCATAGTAACACCACAACCTGCAAGTTCCCCTCCAAGCCACATCTCATCCTGATTTGGAACTATATCATGTTCCTTCACTGTCGCTGGGTCAAAATCCTGCAACTCCCTTCCCAATGGCATTGACACTACAGGAACTGCAGTACTTCAAGGAAGTGGCTCACTGCTAACTTCCCAAGGGTAATAGGGAATGGGTAACCAATGCTGGCCCAGACATTGGCACCCACATTTCTGTGGGAGAATAAATAAAAAGCTTGATTTCTTCAAAGATTTTCGGGAATTGTTTCAAATGAAAGTTTATTAACTAAACAAAAAAGCATTGAGAAAATCATGAAATAGAGAAGAAGGAACAAAGACTCTTCATAACAGCTTGCATCTATATGGTGTCTTTATCATAATAAAATGGTTTAACGTTCACAGGAATTGTTAAAAGCAGGACAGAATGTGAGGCAGGTAGTGTAGTGTTGAGCTTAAGTGTTGGTTCTCAAAAGAACAAAGAACAGTACAGACACAAGAACAGGCCCTTTGGCCAACCAAGACTGCACCAATTCTGCACCAATTGAGGGGGGGGTGGGTGGCACAGTAGCTCAGTGCCTGGCACTGCTGCCTCACAGTGCCAGGGACCTGGGTTCAATTCCACCCTTGCGTGACTGTCTATGTGGGTTTCCTTCAGGTGCTCCGGTTTCCTCCAACAGTCCAAAGATGTGCCAGTTAGGTGGATTGGTCATGCTGAATTGCCCCATAGGGTCCAGGGACATGTAGGCTAGGTGGCTTAGCCATGGGAAATGCAGGGTTACAGGGATGAGGGTTGGGTCTGGGATGAGCTTCAGAGGGGTAGTGTTGACTCAATGAGCCAAATCACTGGTTTCCACACTGTAAGGATTCCATCATTCCATGAATTCAATTAGTCCTGCTGTACTCACCTTTTATCTGCAAAAAGCACCTGACAGTGTGGCGATGCCATGTGTGTCTTTACTAAGTTCATGTGGAACTAGTTTTACAAAGTCTGGATCCTGAACTGCAACACAGAATTAGACCTATTTCTTAACCACTGCTCACAAGTAATGGCATCTTGCATGCATACAACATTTCGAGTGCAGATGCTTGCCTTCAGCACCTGAAGTACACTCCTGCATTTGACAAAGACAGAACATCCATGTAGTTGCTGCAATGATTGTCAGCTCTGGGAATAAGGTAACTGGAGCAATGAAAGCCACATGAAAGAAAAATGTAAGAAAAGTGGACAATCTTGCCCAAATTCAATGATGAATATATTGTTGCTGTTGCATAACTCCCTGTTTCTGTCCGTAGGCTACAATGATTTTGAATTATCACAAACAATCTTGCATTCCCCTCTTCATTTGGAACCTTTTCTCCTATTACATACAATGCCATATTTGTCAAGGATTGTTGTGCAGTTGCTCATTGGAGTGTGCCTTGCGTTTGATTAATGGCTTCTTGGCAATTGTGGAAGATCTTTTTCTAGACTGTCCTCACCCTTTTCAAATCTCTTGGGTTACTGGCTCTGTGCAGTCAACTTGTATCTCATAAACACGTTCCTCCGTATAACAGTCACAGCACGTTAAAGGCAAATGTTTTGTACCCCAGCTGATATGAATTTCATATTTCACCTACTAAGCCAAACCCCATTTCTCCACGCTTCTCCTGAAAACATAAATGTTTTTCTTCATCAAGTGTTGGTCTAATCCTGATTGTATTAATACACAGTGCAGAACAAAGCAAAACCTTTTTGAAAACACCATCTTACCAATTATGACCTGCAACAAAAATTAACTGACTGCTACAGACTTTCCAACATAAACCCAGTGCTGAACTAGAAGATGAAAAGAAAAGGCAGAGATAAAGCAGACAAAGTGAGAGACACTGCTGTTTGTCATTTACGAAGACAAGGCATTGGAAGATTGCCTCCAAGAGTCTTTTCTAAATGGAAAGTGCCTGTAGAAAGTGAAAGAGACAAACAGCTTT